GGCCCTCGGCGTCCAGCTGGCGGCACCAGGCCTTGCGGCGCCCCCAGTGCTTCCGGGAGTCATAGGGGCAGGACACCCGCAGGGACTGGCCTGCCAGGCCCCGGAGCACCGTGGTGTTGAGGCCTCGGGACAGCTCTGCAGAGGAGACATTCCTTCACTCTTCCACTCATTTATCAAGTATTAATTGAACACCTACTATGTGCTGTGAACAAAAGAGACAGAAATCCTGCCCTCACGGGGCTTGGGTTCTTAGAGAAGTTGGAGCAAGGGGGCGCAGCCCAGGCTGTGTTTGTGGGAAACTGGGAGCCATGAAACCCGAGTCCGGTCTGCCTCTGTCATCTGGACAGAGGAGTCGGGTGGGGTGGGGCCCGGTGGGCAGTGAGCAACCGCACAGCCACCCACGGGGCCCTCAGTGGGGCTTTCCCAGGTCCCTGGAAGCCCGAGGGTGGTTCTGCTGAAGTAACGGACCCTCTCGGGGCCTGTTTCCAAAAACACTGGGTCTCAGAGGCCCCTCCAGCTCTTTCTGCACATCTTCTCCCCATCACATGAAACGAGGCTTCGCCTCACCCCACTCCCTCCCAAGAGAGACGGCTGGGGACCCTCTTGGGCCTGGGGCTGGTTCCACGGGGCAGGGCAGTACCCCACACTGGCCATGTTGTTCCTGTGCCGCTGCCCATGCCGGCAGGCTCTGCGCTCTGCTCTTTCTGACCTTTAGCTTCCAGCTTCCCTATTTCTGCGGCTCTGTTCCCCTTTCAGGATGGACTCGTCTCAGAGTTATTTTGGGGGAGACACGAGGCTGCTATTTTGGGGTCCTCCTTGGGGTGGGGGAGATGGGCTCAGAGCACCCATCCACTTCCAGGGCAGGGGCTGAGGGGAGCCACCCAGAGCCCTCTGCCTCAACTTCCCCTCTCAGCCCTTCTCCCTTCACCCATCTTCAACCATCTGGGAAAGACACTTGAAAGCTAGGATTGGGGGGCTGGTGGCCTGCCTTTTGGAGCCAGAGAGACCTGGTGAGCAGTGGCCCCTCCACACATCTTGCCATTCACCCCTCTGCCTCTAGGCCGGCGCCCCCCTCCTCCACGCCCCCCAGCTGATAAACTGCAGGAGCCAGTCTCCATGGGACAGGCTCCTCCCACCCAGGTTTGCCTATTGTTGGGGAGTGAGAGGCACCCTCCCCCAAGGAGGAAAGACTGTTGTGGGCAAGAACCGGGGGTGCCAATCCCCCCAGCTCACAGACAGAAATACTTGGCCCCCTCACCTCCCTCCCAGGGCTGAGGACGGAAGGACCTTCTGAGCCTGGGAGGGGGCACCCAAAGGACACGAATCTCAGGCCCAGGTTCTTCTCCTCCCCCACCCCCCACCCCCGCCACTCCTCTGGGGCTAGTCGTATGCTTACATGGTTTATAAGTTTCGGGGCTCTTACCAGTGCCCCCAAACTCCCCCAGCCACTAGCTAGTGCTGGAGATGCCACCATCAGAACTCCTTCCCCTCCCACGCGGCCAGAACCCGCCAGCCTTCACACCTGCCAGTGCATATGGTAGATTCTGACTGCGGGCCCTGATGCCCAGGGGGGAGTGGGGGGGGGGCAGGAGGATGTGGGGCGGTGGGAAGAGAGGGGACTTGCACCTCCTTCTGCCCAGTGCTTCCCCCCCCCGCCCCCCGCTGCCACCTGCCAGGTACTCAAGGAAGGGGAAGGAAAGAAGCCCTCCGCGGGGCAGGGAGGGACTCTACCTGTGACGGAGAGCAGGACGAGCAGCCCGAGAGGCCCCATGGCAGCCTGCCCTGGCGGAGGCAGACGCAGAGTGCCTTGTGCAAGATCCCGTCTTTCCCTTGAACTGCAGAAAGGAGAGGGTCGGGCAGTCAGGCGCTGCCCACAGGAACTGGCTCCTGGGGGTTGAGCAATAGTCAGGACTGGGGTCTGGCTTTGTGATTCAGGGAGGGGTGGCGGGTAGGGGAGGAGAGGAGAGGAGGAGCCGCTGCTGCAGACCTCCAAGAGGCCAGCCCCCTCCATCTATGCCAGCCAGGGTCACCGCATGGCTGGGCAGGGTCCGAGGCTGAGAGCCTCGCCGGGGATCACTGACCTCACAGCCGGGGTCAGGCCCTCCTCCAGGGCCACTGCCTGCATCCTCTGGTTCCAGCCTTGCAAGGGCTGGAGAAGGGTCTCCTCTTGGAAGAAGCCAGGACCCGCCCCAGCCCCTCTAGTCCTTCCCTCTGGCTGGCGTCCCCGCAGTGAGGAGTGTGCAGAACTTGGGCTGGAGCCAGACTTGTGGCTTTAGGTCACTTCTTACCTCCTGTGTGTGCAGTCACAGCCTCTCTGTCTCAGTTCCTGTACCTGTAAAATGAGAATAATAACCGCGTACAGGGTTACTGGGAGCATCACATGGACTTCCACAGGCAAAGTGCTTTAGAACAGGGCCTGACACACAACAAACATGCAGCACAATTAACTAGTACTGTTATCCTAGTTAGCAGGACACACTTCAAGCACTCAGCACAATTAACTAGTACCATTATCCTAGTTAGTAGGACACACAGCAAGCACTCAACACATTAACTAGTACCATAATCCTAGTTAGTAGGACACACAGCAAGCACTCAACACAATTAACTAGTACCATTATCCTAGTTAGCAGGACACATAGCAAGCACTCAGCACAATTAACTAGTACCATTATCCTAGTTAGCAGGATACACAGCAAGCACTCAACACAATGAACTAGTACCCTTATCCGAGTTAGCAGGATACACAGCAAGCACTCAACACAATGAACTAGTACCCTTATCCGAGTTAGCAGGATACACAGCAAGCACTCAACACAATGAACTAGTACCCTTATCCGAGTTAGCAGGATACACAGCAAGCACTCAACACAATGAACTAGTACCCTTATCCGAGTTAGCAGGATACACAGCAAGCACTCAACACAATGAACTAGTACCCTTATCCGAGTTAGCAGGATACACAGCAAGCACTCAACACAATGAACTAGTACCCTTATCCGAGTTAGCAGGATACACAGCAAGCACTCAACACAATGAACTAGTACCCTTATCCGAGTTAGCAGGATACACAGCAAGCACTCAACACAATGAACTAGTACCCTTATCCGAGTTAGCAGGATACACAGCAAGCACTCAACACAATGAACTAGTACCCTTATCCGAGTTAGCAGGATACACAGCAAGCACTCAACACAATGAACTAGTACCCTTATCCGAGTTAGCAGGATACACAGCAAACACTCAGCACAATTAACTAGCATCATTATTCTAGGTGTCAGGGGAAGAAACAACGGGCTGTCTTCGAGAGGGAGAGTTTTCTCTGCCACCTGGACTCTCCTGCCCAAGTTTGGCCTCCTTAGCACAGCGGCGCCTCCTGGGGGCACATGCTCACATGACCAGTATTTTGTGCACACACACACCTTGAACTCCCCACCATCCTATGGGAGAAGACAGGACATGACATTTTCTGGAGATCTGGGTGTGAGGTGTGCTTTTTCCACGGGTTCGGGTCCTATGAAGGGTGATCCAGGCGAGATGGCCGTGTGAGTCAGGATGGGGTGGAGGAGGCAAAGCAACTCTCAGCGGCAGGAAGCTGAGTCATGCTGGCGCAGGTGCAGGAGAGGCTGGGAGCCCAGTGCTGCCCTCCATCCTCAGGGTCTACTTTGGTTTCCTGCAAGCACTCTGATTTGTTCTTTCATTCATTGATTTGCCCATATTTACTGTGCATATAGCATATGGACAGGGAATGTGTGTGGAGATGGGTAGTTAATGGTGAACATAAGATAGTTCTTCACTTAGAGAGCCAACTGCCCAGCCTTGACCTAAGGGCCTAGGGGATGAGGGCCTGAGGTCACCTGAAGATCACTGTATAAGGCCCTTCAGCATTATTGGCATATAACTTAATACACAAAAATTCACCACATTGGGGTGTCCAGTTCTATGAATTCTGACAACCTCATACATCTATATATCAACCCCCATAATCAGAATGTAGAACGTGTCTGTCAGCCAAAAAACATTCCCTCGTGCCCCTTCAGCCAATTCCTTCCTTTCCAATCCAGGCCTGGCAGCTACTGATCTAACTTCTGTCTCTAGAGCATCCTGCCCCTTCTAGAACGTCATACACCCACACAAAATGACACCACATGTCGCCTTTGAGTCTGGCTTTTTTCACTTATTGTGATGCATTCAACATGCATGAAGTCGCACTTCTCAGGAGTTTATTCATTTTGTTGTTGAATAATATCTCACTGTGTGGCTGACCCACAGGTGCTTTATCCATTCACCAGCTGATGAGCATTTGAGTTGTTTTCAGTTTGGGGCAACTGTGAATAAAGCCACCAGACACATTTATGTACATGCTAGAGGCCCAGTGCATGAAATTCATGCACAGGTAGGGTCCCTGGGCCTGGCCAGTGATCAGGGCCGATCGGGGCCTTCCGGTTGCTGACCAGGGCCTTCCTTCCCCCAGCTGCCGGCTGCTGACTGGGACCTTCCTTTGTTCCACACCACTCCCTGGTAATCAGCAAACATCATAGCAAACTGTTGAACTCCCGGTCGGTCGAACTTCTGAGGGGACAATTTGCATATTAGCCTTTTATTATATAGGATATTTGATGTGGACATTTGTTTTCATTTCCCTTGGATAAAATCCTAGCAGTGGGAGTGCTAGGTCATGTGGTGAGTGTGTGTTTAACTTTATGGAAGCATTGCACTATTTTTGCAAAGTGGTTGCACCATTTTTGCATCCTGGTCAAGACTTGACATTGTCAGGTTGCTTTTTAAGTCATTTTAATAGGTTTACGGTGATAGCTCATCATGGTTTAGTCTGTATTTTCCTAATGCCTAATGATGTTGAACATCTTTCTTTGGCAAAGTTTTAGTTCAAATCTTATGTCCATTTTTAATGATCATTATTATTAAGTTGTGAGAATTCTTTATATATTCTGTATATAAGCCCTTTATCAGATTTGTGATTTGCCAATATTTTTCCAGCCTTTAGCATGTTGGATCACTTCCAAAGCGTAGAAAATTTAATGTTGATAAAGTCCAATTTATTTGGTTTTTTTGTTTAGAATTTGTGCTTTTTGTGTCCTACTAAGAAAATTTTGCCTACCTGAAAGTAACATTTTCTCCTGTTTCCTGTTAGAAGTTATAGAAGTTATAGTTTTAGGTTTTATATTTTGGTCTGTGATCCATTTCAAGTTAATTTTGCACATGGTACAAAATACGATCGGGGGGGGGGGGGGGAGGGTTGTTTGTTTTTGTTTGTTTGCTTGTTGCCTATAGATGTCCAATTTACCAGCGTCATTTGTTGAGAATGCTATCCTTTCTCCCTTGAATTGCCTTAGTATCTTTGTCACAAATCGACTGGTGTGTAGGTCTATTTCCTGATTATTCATTCTGTTCCATTGATCTAAGTGTCTATCTTTTCACCAATATATCACCATCTGGACTACTCACTGTAGTTTTATGACAAATCTTTAAATCAGGTGGTGTGGCTAACCCAACTACATTGTTCTTTTTCAAAATGGTTTTGAATGTCCTATACATTGCCTTGCCATGTAAATAGAACCAGCTTGTCAATTTCTTTCTCACACCTCCCTCCCCACTCCTACACACACACCAAAAAGAGAGCCTGCTGGAATTTTGCTTGGGATTGTTGGGTCTGCAGCACAGTTTTGGGGGAGGGGGAGACTAGACATCTTGACACCACTGAGTCTTCCAATCCATGCACACAGCTTAGCTCTTCATGTATTCATGTATTCTCTGCTTTCTCTCACCAATGTTCTATAGTTTTAAGCATACAAATCTTGCACATATTTTGTTAAATTTCTACCTAAGTATTTCATGACTTTGCTGTTATTTTAAATGTTTCTAGCTTCCCACATCTTAGTCAGAAGCAGAACTCAAAGCTCCCATAAATCTTGCCCAGGCTGGTGTGGCTCAGTTGGTTGGAGCATTGTTCTGTACACCAAAAGGTATGGTCAGGGAACATACCTAGGCTGTGGGTTTGATCTCCAGTCAGAGCACATACGAGAAGCAACTGATCAATCTTTCTCTTGCTTCAACATTTCACTTGCTTTGATCTCTCTCTCTCTCTCTCTCGCTCTCTCTCCCTCCCTCTCTCCCCCTCCCTCCTGTCTCTAAACCAATTTAAAAAATATATTCTCAGATGAGGATTTTTTTTAAGTCCCATGAATCTTCATTTTACTTTCTGGCCCATTTATGCTCCATTTTGACTCCTTCTCACTTCCTTTCTACCTGAAGAAAGGGTTCTTTTTCTTTCTTTAAACCTTATATCAAAGGGCAGGCACCAAGAAATCCTTACTAATTCTTCTCAGCACATGCATATCAAATGTCCTCGTCTTTTAGCTTGCACTATCGTGTGGTTCAAGTTCCTGTTCTGCCGGGGCTGACCAGCAGACCCTGAGCGATGGATGAATGGATTGCTCTGACACGCGCTTCTGTGAAAGAGAGGGCGAAGGGACTGTTCTACTTTAGAAGTAAAAAGCAGTCCTGTTCATCTGCCTTCTTAGGCTTTTATTGTCACAACAGTTTCTACTAAAATTAACCTCTAGATACAATTAGCAGGGCAAGTATCCTTGAGAAAGTATATGCTTCTACGAGGTCGGGTCTTTAAAGACTAAACATAGAGATTCCAGCAAAACACCCCGGGGGATTGGACTTGTTTGGAAATGTTAAGGCAGGGGCTGCCGCCTAAGGCAAGGTCCCCTCAGAGGCCCCTGACCTTTCGAAGAATCCTCCTTACAGACATTCCAACCAAGTACCGTGCTTCCCCACACTGTTCCTCATATCTGAGCACGAGAAT